CTGACCCCGTCATTGAGGCACGAGGAGCAATGGCCTATAGAAACCTCTGTGTGGTTGGAAGCATTCTATATCTGCCATCGACCAGGTCAGGCACCCAAAAGGGTAAGCACCCCAAAACAAACCCCTATTCTGGTTAAAATATTGTTACTGAAAGCCGAAGTAGTGAACAGAACTCCCCAACAGAAAACGTGGTACAGGCATAATGTGGCCTCATCTACATTATGCATTAGTTTCGTACCAAAGAAAGGGTCTCGAAAGAGTTCGCATCCCTTTCTCTTCAGAGGGATGCGAACCCTCTGAAGCGAAAGCCACACCGCCGTGAACCATGCTGTGAGCCCATAAGGATGGATGCACCGATCCTGGCCGGTCAGGTGAGTACTGGTCACAAAACTCGTCAAGAGATTTTGCATCCGTGAACACATCGAGCTAGGGCTCAAGTAGGCGCCACCACACCGAATCCCGAAAAACCTGAAGAGAACGCCAGTGATGCAGCAGCTGACGCAAGACCCCCAGGGTCCGAACTCAGCAATCGCGAGAGCAGCGGAAGGGACGTCCCTGAAGGAACCAGAACAGCGGCCAAAGCAAGATCTGACCCAACGGGTACACCAGCACAGCAAAGTTCAGACTTCCGCACAGTTGCTCATACAACCAATGAGTGACCTGGGTGCCTCCCAAAAATAGCCGAAGGTGGGACCTCAGCCGCAGCCACACCATGGGAGGGAGAGACAAGGAAGCAGTCCGAGAGTCCTACACAAGACCCAGCCAAGTCTAAACCTGAGAGGGAACAAATTGGGACTTCCTCCAGTTAACCAAGAACCCGAACCCGGTGAGCTGGGAAAGAGCCAAATCCCTGGCGAGCAGACACGCGGACCAGCTGGAAGCCCAGACCAGCAAGTCGTCGAGGTAAGCCAGAACCCGAACCCCGAACAGACGCAAACAGGTCACCACGACCAGGGTAGGGCGAGTTAAAAAATGTGAGATGCCAGATTCAAGCTGAATGGAAGGCAATGAAAGCAGTAAGCGTGCTTCTCCACGACAAAACTGAGCCAGTCCCTGAACTCCGGATGAATCAAGATGTGCCAATATGCATCCCGAAGATCTAGGGACACCATCCTAGCACCCAGCTACAAAAAGCTACAAAAGCAGCTGAACCTGGGGTAGAGTTGTCACCTGAAAGGAGGGGTAAAAGACCCAGGGGTTCAGATGGAACAAGTCCAAAATAAACCTCAGATCCACACAGGATCCATTTTATAACTGGAAACAGGCGAGGAACCCGCCTAAGGGACGTCGTCGTTTTGACCACGCCAAAGTGTACCCACTCCAGGATGACCCAATAGAGCGCAGGGAAAGAGGCCTGCCCCACCAGTCCCAAACCACCCCCAAAGGAGGAGGAACCACCCAATGCCACCGCAGGCTGGAGGAAACAACCCAAAACACCCACGAATTGTGGGACCAGGCGAGAGCTAACAGCACAAGCCTTTTCCCCAAGGGAAAGGCTCGTTGGCCAACTGCAAAAAGGCTGACTACCCTTACGAGAGCCCGACAGATGCTCAGAGCGATTACTGCACCAACCAGACGCCGGCGGCTCCGCAAGAAGGGCCAGCCCCAAATCCAGCACCACTGGCTTACAGCGATCAAAAGAATCCCGAGCCCTGGCACAACCCTTCCAAGCAGGACCCTCATGGCCCCCCCCCCCCCGGAGAACCAACAAGTCCGACATCCCCCGGCAACTAGACAAAGCTGCCTGCAGAAAATGCACCACCGCAGACTCTGCAAACAGCAACGGACAATAAGGCGATGAAAATTTAAGAACCAGGGCCCAAGAAGGTTCCAAAAAGTGGACAAGCACCGCCTGTCGGCACGCGAGGCGAGAAGCAAAGAAAAGAGACACTGCTTCCTTCAGAATCGGCGCAAACAACTTCAACAAGGCAGCCGACACCCGAGCTGCCGAGGCAAGAGCAACGGACGCTGGCCCATAACCCAGCTCCTCCACATCCTCACGCCAGTCCGAAAACAGCTCCAGCAGGGAAAAGAAACGCAAGACCAAAGCCAAATGTCAACGGGCGCACAAATCCTCAGCGACCAGAGACGCCAAAAGGGAGGGAACCTGCACGTGAAGCTGCACCTAGCCGACATCGTGAGGAAACACAGGGGAAATCAAGCATGCATTGAGGCACTCCAACTCGCCCCTCAGGTAAACCTGAACAATCTTAGTCAACTCCCGCCATTCAAGCATGAGTGTCTGAAATAACGCATGCTACACCCCCCCGCCCCCCAACAAAACACACAACAGGCAGTCTGCCAGCCAGGAAGACTTCAGCACTCCATAATGCACCCAGTAAGGAAAAGAGGAGCCAAATTAAAAAAAGGAGGAGGATCCATTATCAAGGTGTAATCCGGGTCTCACAAGAGGTAAGCCGCAAAGGCCTCCCACACCTTCCAAGACGGGATGTGGGAAGCCAAAAACCTCCGGAAGGAAGGAACCAAGGAACCCAAGGGAACCTAGAATCGAATCCGAGGAGGAGCCAAACCCATATCAAACTCACACAGGGAGGGGGGAGGGAATAGGGAAACCCCTCCCCCTGTAACAACAAGCCCCGCGCCAAGGGTACCAACACCCAAGCAGGATCAAATGGGGCCCAAGCCCGCCCCCCCCCCCCCAAGTCCACTCCCCAGCCCCGGGATCCTCCATGTCAGGACCCGGGACAAAGCCATCCTCCAAACCCTCTGCCTCTTGAGAAAGGGAAGAGTTCACTGGAAAAGCAGGGAAAAGGGACATCTGCTGGCCCGACTCGAAAGCCCCGGCAGGAGGAACAGGCTCGAAGGCCTCTGCCGCCAATCCATAAGGGGCAGTCCCCAAAGCCCTCCCATGTCTCACCACCAAGAAAGCCCTTCCCCGACTCTGAAACCCGCAGACATTTTGGGAGTCGGGAGCAGGGGAAGGGGAGCAGAATGAACCACAACAGGGAAAGGACAAGGTGGCATGGACGAAACTAAAGTCAAGGAGACTAACTTTCCCAAGTCCGGGTCACTATAACTTAAGCAGGGCAGCCACGGGGCATCCGGAAAGGCAACCAACCTAACTCATTGTAGCAACCTAAACCTCGCATGCAATGCAGAAGCTGCTTGCTCCCGAATATCAGTATCAGAGGATTGGGTAAACTGGAGTACAAGCAAGGAACACCACTCGCAGGACTTCGAGTCAAAGGTGTCATTGACCCAACAGGCAGAATGATGGGGGCAAAGACGGTGAGTGTCACCCTGAGACAAGGGGACAGAGCAACCTTCAAACTCGCACGAAGCAAGATGGAACTCAGAGGACACATCCACTGGACCAAAGAACCCTAACGGGGGTTTCCAGGGCCTCCAAAGGATACCTGATCAACCAGGCTGTGACTCATACGTCAGGCTGCGAGCAGCCGCGTCCAACAGCCTGGTTGATCAGTCCGGCAACCAGGAGGCCTGGTCAACGACTGGGCCGTGGGGACGCTAAGCCCCGGAAGCACCTCAAGGTAACCTCAAGGTAAGGCCCTCAGACTGACTGCTAAGAGAAGCCCAGGCAAGGTAATGTTAACTTGTTATCCCAGAACTACCAAACAAACAAACAAAAGATTAACCCCTGTGACATGTGCAATCATGAGGACCTAGTGGAGGGCCAGCAAAATAACACAAGAGGTTTTACAGCCACACTAGGCTGACCCTGCCCCCCATCAGGCAAAACAAAAACAAAGAAACACAAGAAGAGAAACACCCCGCAAAAGTACACCTCCAGCAGGAATAGAACCGGCCTCTATGCATAATATAAGACAGCTGCACAATACCTTGCGCCCCAGTCAGCGACGAGGCTACCTCCTACCCAAGGCCAAACAGTGGTAGGAAAAACCCCAGCTGACCTCAAGGGCGAGCAATCACCGAGCAGGAAAAGAACTCTGTGGAGGGAGTCCCCTGAACAGTTTGTGGAAGGTAACTCTAAACTGCCAGGGCAGTACTTACAGGGCACCTACAGAATGTGACCCTAGGCACATGCAGCCTCAATATATCTGGAATTACTCCTGGCTCGCACACCACCACACCGCAGCACAACACCACAAAGCACAGCACTGCTCAAGGATTGGAGCCAGAGTCGATCGACCACCACTCTACACGACAGCCTCAGAACTGGGGTTGGGTAGCTGGCACAGGAGGTCTGGGGCTCCCCCTTCCCCCTCCCGAGGAGGGGGGAACTGCGCAGACAGCAGTGCAGCAGCTGTGGTGATGTCATGCTTGTTTTCTGATGGGGGAGTTCTGCCTGCTCGTTCGGTTTTCGGTTTGCAATTTTTAACCAGCTGTAGTTTGTTTTGGGATTCCTGCCTTTCTGGTGCCTGACCAGGTAGATGGCAGACATAGACAGCTCCCAACTATATGGGGGGTGTCCATAGACAATTGCTCCTCATGCCTCACTGAGGGGGGTCAGGTTCTGGCTTGTGGTTCCCAGTAGGTTAAGAACTCCGTCGAATGACTATTGCCACGGTCTAATATATAAACATCAGCTTGGTATAGCTCCGGGGAGCTGAAAGGGCTTTCCACAAAAACCATCCCTAAAACTTTTGCATACTCCTAATATGTATACAACTTGACTTCCATACATGGGCCAGGGTAGATGGTGGATGATATGTTTCCTAGTAAATGTCATAGCACAAGTGTTTGTAATAAAGAACTTAAAGCTGTGATTGATGTTAGTTTCTGCCGACCAGCCATCTTGGCCCCAAGATAGCTGGTCGGTGATAGATGTAACGATATTTATGAACACTTTATTTTAATTCCAGTGCCTCCCTAGCTCATTATATGACCTAATTGGGATGATAACAAATCTCCGCAGTGTTTGTGCCTAAACTTTGTTCTACCCATCTATTCATTATTCCAGTTTATATTAAAGTGGAATCTTGCCTTAGGAAGCCACCACATGAGACAGCTCATAAATATTGATAAAACTCAAATTCATGATAGATATAATTGCATACCTTGTGGTGAGCAGCAAACACTTGCAAGAATTTTGGCATTCAGGGTGCCCTTTCTGGCCATCTCTGGCAAAACCTGTGTTAGTGCCAAAGGTAACACTCCTTCACTCTCCAAGAGAAAGAATCCTTTATACGACAGCAACAGTGTAGTCAGCAGAGGCAGTGACTGTGGAACGCTAAGATGAAGTAACTCACTTGTTCTTGGATCAATCCCAAGTGAGATTTTTTCTGTTGAAACCGATTTATTTTTATTCTTGAGGTGTTCAATCACACTTTCTATGAGAGGATGTTTAGCACACATGTGCATGCCTATCGGTGAGGCAAGCAAGTTGCAGCAGACACTGATTGAAATCCTTTTTAAATCTGAGCTGGCATGTTTACTTCTCAATATGTGTAAAACCAAATTCATCACTTCATGTGCTGGGCTGCTAATAATCCCAGACAAGCCAGATTTGGAACTGGATTTCCTCTTCCTTCCTAGTAAGATGTACTTTTGTCCAATGTGAGTTGCTAAAATGGTATCCAGAATAACAAGGACAGCCTTAATATAACTTGATGGAATCATTTTTTCTAAATCTCCTTTCAAATCTTTTTTCTGTTGTGGGAGGTTATCAAAATTGCTCACTTCTTGAAGAAGTAACTCTACAACTCCAGCATCACATAAAATCCAACTTTTCATTTCATCATGTGAACAGAACTTGTTTAACAGACTACTTACTTCTATATTTATTATTTCAGATATATTGCAGTTAACTGCTCTGATAAGAGTTTGAATTATTCCTTGCATGGTCACCAGCTCTTCTTTGGAAGGAACATTCACAGGAAAGAGTTTCCTTCCATCAGAATATTCCAGGACTGCCATGATTACATTAATACTATGGACAAATCTTAAATGAGATACAAGGCTAGAACTAATTATCTCTCTAGTGTCTACTTGTGAAATTTCTGTCACATTTTCCAAGTGTTTAATGCAAAATGACACAGAGTGGAGAAGTACCATTGAGTTACTTCTCATTGCAGAAAACGTTTTGCTTCTTCCCCACTGCCCATGTACCCACTTTCTTAGCCATGAAGCTTGGGGGTCAATTACAGAATACATATCCAGTACTGTCATCTGTTTATTATCCTTGATGGAAAGATTTAAACCTAATAAGTTAAATGTGGCTTCAACCATATCATCAACAAATCTTTCCGGATATCTTATCCAAAGAAGAGGTAGTTCTTTTTGAAAGTCAATTAAGATTTTTAAGAGTCTAATAATGTTTGCACACGAGTTCAAATTAATATTTTCTCCCTTTAATGGAATTTTTGAAAGAAACCGCTTAGACATGTAAAAGCCAGCAACAGCACCCAAAAGATTTAAATATGCCTCTTTTACTGCATTATGTACTTGAGATGTTAGAAGTTTACAATGTACCTTCAAGGCTTTGTCAAATATTTCTGGTGTGTCATCAAACAGGCATTCTCTTAGCCCTTTCTTTAAGTCACACCAACAATCCTGCATCACTGGCTCGCAAGGTGTTACTGCTAGCAAGATATTTAAGGAATCATTGCAAGCTTCTCTATCTTTTCTGCTTTGAAGACATTTGGCTATGTTATGATATTGTGCTGGGTGCAAAAATAAGAGTCCAGATTGATTTAATGAGGAATTTAAAGAAGACTCATTTGAGTTATTTGGGCTAGCGTATGTGGTTTCTTCATAATTTGCAAACATTCCTGTCACTATTTCATCATCAAAATGATTAGTAATGTCTTGCACTGAACTTTCCAAGCTTAACTTAACATTTTTCAAAAAATCATTAAATTTTTCTTCAGATACAACTTTTTCCAATAAGAAATCAACTGGGTTCTCAGATCGCATTTTTCCTTTATGTTCCTTCAGGTAATCTTCAACAAGTCCCTCTATAACTGCACTAAGTTCCTCCCGCATTCCTTTTCTCAAACTTTTGACCAGCAGCAACTTGTGAAATGCAGGATCCATGTCAGAAAGGTATAACAACATTTCTGAGGTATTGTCAGCAGTTCCTGCTAGATATATCATAGGGTCCATGTGTGCTAAAAGGTCTTTCACTTGAGGTTTTGTCCCCATCCCTGCATTATCTTCAATTTTATCTTCCATGTTACTCTTCTTTTGGCTTCCTCCTTTGTAATTTTAATTGATATGAGGACAATTTAGTGTAAGTGTTTGCTGGTTGACAGTTGAGACTTTGTTCCTTATATACTGCGCATTCCATTGTCAATCTGCAAACATTAAAGAATCATTACAACCATCTTATCATATGTGTTCATACACAACTTTTATTAATCAAAATGCATAATTTAGCAATGAAAACAAACAAAAACTGAAATAAGTAATTCAGGTCATCGAATTACAGAACAGTGGCACTTCAACTTACAACTTACGAATTACGAATTTATACTTACGACCCCAATTTTGATGAAAAAAACCAGCGTTGAATGTAATGAAACGCCATTTTCTGGGTGAGTCCCAGAGGCTCCCCGGAGCTTTTCCAGGCTGATATGCTAATGTCAGACTTTGCCATCAGTCATGTGATGGAGTTCTTAGGCCTACCGGGGACCATGGCCAGAACCGGGCCCCCTCAGAGAGGCAAGGGGAGCAATGGCCTATAGAAGCCCCCGTGTGGTTGGAAGCATTCTATGTCTGCCATCGACCAGAACAGGCACCCAGAAAGGTAAGCGCCTCAAAACAAACACCTATTCTGGTTAAAATTGCTACCAAAAGCCGAACTAGTGGATAGAACTCCCCAACAGAAAACAAGCAAACTAGTGTGACATCACACGTCGCCGCAGCGCTGTCTGCGCAGCTTCCCCCCTCCCCGGGAGGGGAAAGGGGGAGCCCGAGACCCTCCACGCCGGCTACCCACACCTCAGTTCTTGAGCCTGGATATCAAAAACGTGAAAAAAACGCTGACCGGAGGGAGGGAGGAATGCCGGGGAGCCTCCGGGACTCACCCAGAAAATGGTGTTTCATTACATTCAATGCTGATTTTCTGGGGGAAGCCGCGTTGGCTCCCCGGAGCAAGCTACCCACAGACGGAAAAAAGAGGGACTTACCCGGGAGGCGGTTGTCGCTCACTCCTCAACTTGAAGCTGAGACAACTGGCTGCAACCGCCGACCCAAAGCAACACAGGCCCGATGGGGCCCAGGGACATTCACAAGGTAACGAGCAGCCAGGACCCTGTTTGACCGCCAAAATCCCTGCGCCCGAATATCAGACCAAGATATATTCCCAAAGACGGCAGCAAGAGCCAGACGTCATGGGCACCGGGATAGACCACAGGCTGGCTGGACTTAATAACCCTATGGACAACCTGGACGACCCGAACCCGCGAACAGGGAAGAAGGGAAACTGGATCAACCCAAAGCGCGTCCCTGGACACAGAAGCCGTGGAGCGCAAATAACGGTGAAGCGCCGCAACCGGACACAAAACATCATGTACCCCCGGCCTGACCAACCAAGCATCAACCACCCACGGACCCCTCCGGAACGCAGCAGTCTCATTCTTCGCCAGAAAAGAAGGAGACGGCTGCCAGCGAACAAAACCATCTCCACGACCAAAAGAGCAGAAACCCCTGCGCCGGAAGAGAGCATGAAGCTCCCCTACCCGACCCCCAGAGGCTAATACCAACAAGAAAAGAGCCTTGGAGAAACAATCTTGGACTGAAGGGGCCACAACGAAACGAGGAGACGAAAGGAAGGTGAGCACTCGGTCCAAAGACCAGGATGACTCAGGCGGCGCATGAGCAGGCCGGAGGTGAAGTAATGCATGAGACAGCTTGCGAAACAGCGCAGACATAACATCGATACCAAAGGCAAGCTGAAGCGGCTCCGCCAGCGCCGCACAATACGAGGCGACAGTGTTAGGCATAAGATGACGGTCCTGAAACAACCACGAGAGGAAGGACAAGGCCACCCTAACAGACAAGGAACTAACACGACGAAGACGCAAAAATTAACAGAGGGACCGCCAGGAAACTTCATACTGCCGCTGAGAAGAAGCCCTCAGGTGGGACACCAACAAGGAGGCCACCTGATGAACATAGAGATGATGATAAACTCGAGTCAAAAAACCCATGTGTGAAGACTCGAGGAGAAGATCGAACCAGCCACGTGACGTACTGGCCCGATATGCTGAAAGAGGCGGAGCCGCGGGAAAACCCTCGGGTTCGGACACCGAGCAACCAGCGCCTGAAACCAAGGCTGGGCCGGCCACCAAGGGGCCAGAAGGACAACTCTCCCCTGGTAAGTCTCTAAGGGAGTCAGAACCTGGAGCAACAGCCGAACTGAGGGAAATACAGGAACCCCCACCTCGACCAGTCTAGCCGAAAGGCATCGACCCCGACAGCCTCGCGATCGGGGGAAGGGCGCCGCATACACGGGAAGACGCCGCGACCACGCCGACACGAAGAGGTCCACCTCGGGGCGACCGAACGTCTGGCAAAGCCAATGGAAGGACTCGTCGTCGACCGTCCACTCCGTGTAGAGGGGAACGAAGCAAGACAGGGTGTCGGCCAAGACGTTGGACACTCACTGTACGTGAACTGCCAGGAGAGCTAAACCCCGAGAACTCAGCAGACGAGTCACCCGAAGTGACCAACCCCAAAGAGACAAGGACCACATCGAACCCCCGCGGTTCACGCAATGAACCCACGGAGAGCAGTCCGAATGGAGCCGAATCGTCGATCCGCGGGCCACCTGAATCCTCCCAAGAGCAAACTACACTGCCGCGAACTCCCGCACCGTGCTGTGAGGTCGACGGAAGGACGGATCTCAACGCCCCTAGCCGGCCTGGTAAGCACTGGTCACAGAGCCCCAGCCGAGAGATGACTCATCTGTGTACACATCGAGTGAGGGCTCGGGTAGGCACCAAGGCACTGAACCCCGAAAAACCCAAAGAGGAAGCCGATGACGAAGCAACCGACGCAAGGCCCCCCGGGGGTCGAACCCTGCGATCGCGAGAGAGGCAGAAGGGGTGACCCCGAAGGAACCAGAACAGCCGACGAAGCCAAATCTGACCCGGCGGGTAGACCACCATCGCAAAGTTCAGGCTCCCGCACAGCCCCTCGAGCAACCGTCAGGTGACCCGAGGGCCCACCAGAAACAAAGGTGGGACCGCAGCTGCAGGAGAGATTCCGGAGGGAGAGACAAGGAGGCGGTCCGAGAGTCCCAAACGAGATCCAGCCAAGTCCGAACCTGAGATGGGACCAGATGGGACTTCCTCCAGTTCACCAAGAACCTGAACCCGGCGAGCTGGGAAAGAACCAAATCCCTGGCTAGCAAGCAAGCTGACCGGCTGGGAGCCCAAACCAGCCAGTCGTCGAGGTAGGCCAACACCTGAACACCTAGGAGACGCAAACGGGCCACCACAACCCGTATAAAGCGCGTGAACACGTGAGGTGTCAGGTTCAACCCGAACGGGAGACAACGAAAGCAGTAACTCGGATGCCCCACAACAAAACCGAGCCAGTCCCTGAACCGTGCATGAATCGGGACATGCCAATAAGCGTCCCGGAGGTCCAAGGACACCATCCAAGCGCCCAGCTCCAAGAGGAGCTGAACCTGAGACAGCGTAGTGTGACGGTAACGCGTTGATGTTCGGCTGTTTAAGGCTAGGGGTATGGCCTCGTCACATAGTTATAAAAAAAAAAAATAGAAAACTGGAACTTCGTCTGTGGTAAGGTAAGGAGAAGACACACAAAACACAAGTAAATTTTAACAATAAAATTTTAATTACGTTAAATAAATCAAAACATGAAAAAATGGACAAACAAATTTGTATAATAAAATCAATCAAAATAATAAGAATAATTAAATGACACAATGAAAAGTTACGTTAAGACAAAATAACAAGAAGTGCAATACAAAAATAAAGGTAAGGTGCTGGAATATTGGCTTTAAGCTACCACCTCTCTCAGTATACGCTAACGTCTAGCTGGGAGGAGTGGTAACCGCGGAAGCACAGAATATTCTGAGGTCTGAGGTCGTGGCGACCCCAGACATCAAGTAGTATGGGGGGGCGAGTGCAGTTGCAGCCAGACCGGCGACCAATCAGCGAGGAGCCGGCAGCGATCAACAGGTAGTTTGGCGGTTTGAGTCTGAACAGGTGTCCCTGGCTGCATACGTTTTGCGCTCTGGCAAACCTTGCTGGTGTTGTTGTCGTTGTTGGACATTTCTTCCATAGTAGTTATATATATTTGTTGCGACGTATTTGTGGAGGGAAGAGCAGGCTCAATCTCTTGAAGGAGATTACCGTCACAACTCTCCCCCGAAGCCTGCGGTTCTGGAAGAAGTACGTCGTTATGTGGTGGAGTAATGGATGGAGTCGCTTCTACTTTATAAACTCTGGAGAGATCATGGGCTAAGATGTTGTCAGACTCTTGGTATAGCGTGTCTCCAGGTTGAATTTCTGCAGTTAGCAAGCCCATAGTAGAAGACGTTGAGATGAGAAGTGGGCGTGCTGCAGGAGGTGTAGGGTGGTGTGGTCCGTATTGATGGTGGACCGAGCACTTTTCAGGTGTGGAGTGAAGTGCTGAAGCTTCAGGATGAGGAAGAGTAGCTCCTTGCCAATTGTTCCGTAGTTCCTTGTAGCAGTAGTTGCTGACAGGTGTATTCTTCTCGCCTCGTTGCTGCATCACGACACCACCAACGTCGGTACCCCTGGCGTCGACATGGAGGATGAAGGGCTTATCTGACGAGGTGAGAGTGGAATTAGAAGAGGGCAAAGGAGCACGATTATTATCCTGAAAGCATTTGGGAAGATCATTAAGGATTTCGGAATTAAAAAGCGCTGACTCCTTGTCAGTGCTTTCGGGAGGAGAAGCTGGGAAGGTCTCACTGTGGATGTAGGGTTCTGTGAAGGTGGAATAGTTAGTCAGGACAGTGGGAGGAGTACCATTATATTGCTTCAGGAGGTTGACGTGGCACAGCTGGGTCTTCCGCCGCCTATCTGGAGTCTCTATTACGTAGTTGTTATTATTCCTGCACTCTTTGACGCAGTAGGGTCCTGAAAATCTGTTTTGTAAAGGTGAACCTGGGATAGGGAAATAGGCAAGGACGAAGTCTCCTGGCTTGAATTTTCTTACTTTGCTGGTCTGGTCGTAATGAGTCTTCATTCTCTCCTGGGCTTTCAATAGATTATCATGGGCAAAACGGTGGACTCTCTCGAGAATGTGTTGAAGGTTTTGAAGAAACAGGGGCACATTCTGATGCTCACTGAAG